ACATCGGTACATACCCCTACATTGTGATTACATTATTAGGGATAATCGCAATATTTATTTCTATCTTTACATTGTCCACGATACTGCCTAAGTATCATACTTTATATGCGAGAAGCAAAGCGAGAGAGCAAACATTTTAAGATCTATGAGGTCGAAATACCAAACAATTACATCTAATAAAGATAAAGAAAAAAAAATCCTGATGGGGTTTTAAACACAATAATATCATAAAAGACTGAAAAGATCCTTAATAAGAAACATATTTATATCAACTTTAAATGCTAGCGGGCATAGCGTGCGACCTATGGGTGTCCTTACAAAACAAAATCTCTTAGCCGCTTTAAATTAGGAGCACATTTATAATATGGCAGGGGAAGGGGCATTCCTGAGAAAGGGAAGTGACTCTTATTAAAAAAATGGCACTTATTAGAATGAAAAAGAGGGCATGTGTCAAAGTAAAAGAGAGCATGTATCAGAGGTGAGAAGGGGCACTCATCAAAGATGAAAAGGGGCAGAGGGAGTAGAGACACCTTTTACAAAAGCAAAGGGCAGTTGTTAAAGAAAAATGGGCATCTCTCAGACGTGAAAAAGGACAATTCGTCGCTGTTTTCACGAAGTGACGGTAGTGAAAAAAAATTGCATTCACTTTGCATTACGATTTTCCTCACTACCGTCACTTCGTGAAAACAAGGACGAATTACGTAGGTGACGGGGGCACTTATCAGAGATGGTAAGGGGCACTTATAATAATGAAGAACGGGCACCTTTCAGATATAATAAAGGGCACTTATGTTAAGTAAAAGGGGGCACCATTCCTATGTAAAAAGGGACACTGTAGAGATACTTGAAAAGGTGGGGGCACTGTGCCCACCCACCCCTCTGTCTACTGGCACCTCCAGCACTGGATGATGAAGATGTATGGTGATGGTGATGGCGGTGGCGGTGGTGGGAATGGTGATAATGATGATGGTGAAATGATCATGAAGATGACAAAGATGTTGATAGCTATGATTATGACTGCCCCGCGCCTTGCGCCTTTGAAACACATTTCCGTTTATGTATGATCATTAAAGTTGTAGGCCCTATTTCAAAGTATTTTGTAGCATGTTGCTGCCTTCACGTATTCTTAAATGTCGTGTAATTATTGTTTGTATCTTGGCATTTTTTGATAGAAAAATAATTACAACAAAACAGCAGCAAACTTCAAATATCAGTCCATTTTTATCTCCAACGATTTCGTCCTGTTTTTAAGAACTTATTTTCCTTGTCACTACAAGAACTTTTGTTGAATTATAGGCACTGAGAAGTGGATAGTATTAGGTTGTCGTTAATTGATTATTTAATTTATTTATTTATTGGAACACGTTCCATCATGATAACAAGATCAGAGAGGACTGATTTACATCCTGGTCCTAAATATTAAAAGCTTACACTAAAAACATCAAAGTAAATTAATCAAACATAATAGTCGGAATTGTTAAAATACTCATGAAGACATGATACAAATATTTAGCGAACACAATCTGGAGTAGAAACTAAGTAGAAATTACATGATTTTTATTTAAATATATAAAAGCACGATAATGAAATCAAATAATCCGCTAATCTATTTAAAACCAAATTCTATCACACTACAAAATAACCTTATGTCTTGACGTACCAAACTAAACTTAAAGCAGAAAGAGCAGAAACTACGATAAAAATATTCATAATTTACAAAAATAGGTTTTCTTAGGATCTGGGCTAACTCGGACCAAAGACAACTCGGCCCAGCTGCAAAAACGCTATTTTTTGTCATTTAACCCTAAACCTAACTCTAACCTTAACCCTTACCCTAACACTAAACCAAATCCTTACCCTAAACCTAACCCTTACCCTAAACCTAACACTAAACCTGCCAAAAACTGACCGTTTTTGTAGCTGGTCCGAGGTTAGCCCGTGTTTTTAAAAACAGTCGACGGATTGTGCACTATATAGATTAGAGCGTAAGTTAAAATTTGGCTCCTCTGAGAATTGGTTGAAAGTTGAATCTCTTTAGGCGAGGCGTCAAAAATAAATATACCAGCCAGCGGCAGCTAACTGCACTTGTGCGTCCCGGCTGCATTTTTTAAATTAGCTCAGCCGGCTACCGCTGGCGGTAGGACCCTCAATTAACTCATGATGTCATCATAATGGTCTCCGAACAAAAGCATGCGCCGGCTGCCGCCTTTCGAATAGAAACCGAGCCTCAGATCCCAGCCTGGCGCAAGCCGGCTGGGCTAATAAGTGAAAAATAATTGCCCCAGCCAGGCTTCGGCCGTAATTGCAGCCTCGATGCGCCAATACGTGAGGCGGCAGCCTGGTGGTATCGATATTTTTGACGCCTCGCCTTAATTTCACTCAATTTCTGTATAAAGACTGAACATGTGTAAACAAAAACAAAAAACAGGAGAATGTGCAGAAACCTTTGATGACTGACGGAATTCTGTTAGAATGGGAAAACAATGATATAGACATTTGCATAATTCACATTGATGAACATCGGTATGGAAAAATTAATACAAAAGATGTTGAATTATTAAGAGGAGATAATGGCACTCTAAAAAGGTATTATTTGAAATTGACTGAAAATTGTTTCATTGGCAATCCCATTATCAAAGTTAAGGACTAAACAGGGAAATGGAACACGAGTCATAAAGCTCATGAGTAACTCGCATACTAATGTTGTGTGTGGGCGTGTGTGTCTGTGTGGTGTGTGTGCGCGTTTGTGCGTGTGTGTGTGTGTGGTGTGTGTGTTTGTGTGTTTGTGTGACCTTGTCTAGGAATCCATTAAAACAAAAATGAAGGAAAAAGGTCTAGGGGACCAAACCGAGGACACACATGAGAACTGTACATTCACTTAGAGGACATAAAGCAGACCCAACGTCCTCAGTATCTTAACCAATGCAAAATGTTTTTAATTTTATGCCATACGGGATAGGGATAGGTCCTCGGTTGTACAGAAAATTTCACGCCTGTCCTTACATTCCTAAAAGGGTATGTTTTTGGATATTAAGTAACATACATATGAGTCCTTGATTCTCACCAGAAACGGTGTGCGTTCGGAATAGTATGCTAACTAAAAACATTGTTCTAACTGGATACCTTGCATTCAAAACTTCAATCAAAATGTGTGGCTTTTACAATTCAAAGGGTGTTGAACATTCAATAACTTCTGGCCGAGAGAACTGAATGTTCGAAATGTCCACGACACTGACAATGCAAAGACTATACGAAAGACTTTTTTAAAAGCTTAGAATATGAAAGAAAGAAAGAAAATAAGTAAATAGTAAGAGGAAAAAAGTAACTACCTTAGTATATATATCTAAAGAAAGAGATAAATGTATAAGTATGAATCTAAAAAGCAACACTTCAGTCCCTAAAAATGAATACATTGCTTAAATGATTAGATAGTAGAACTTGAGCAAAATCCGCTCACAAGCCATTACACATCAATTTGAATGAAGTTCGTTTTCCCCCTTCAAACTAGGCGATGATGTATTGATTTTGGGTGTACAAGCACATTTTTGAACGCTGTTTAATGGATGTATTTGCCTGAAATTATTTAATGAACAATGGAACAAACAAGAGAAAGAGAGAGAGAGAGAGAGAGAAAAGAGAGAGAAAATAGGATATATATATTTTTAAAGCGTACTATGAAAATTTGATACTGGAAATATATAAATGCAAATTATGTTTGTCATGAATAGGGTATAAAAGCAAAGGCACATTAAATTAAAAGAGGTGAGCACTTATTCTATTGCAGTAGGGGCGTTCGATCATCAGAAGGGGCACCTTTACGCAGGAGCACCGGTATCAAAAGTGAAGAGAAAGTAGTAAAGTATGTTGAAGCTTGAGGGAAAGAAGAAAAGTGTGACGTGAGAGACAGAGAGAGAGAGAGAGAAAGGGGGGGGGGGGATTTAAGGAAATAGTTTTGTTTTGCATTTGAATGTTATATTTTAAACAATAGATGGCGCTCGTGATAACAATTTTCTGAGTTATTGGTAGGTTCTTTCAAAATCGATGATAAGGACATATTATGAGGCCAATTCTAAATGGGTCCAGAAAATCACAGGAAGCCCCTGACGGCATGGTTGAAAACTAATCATTTCCAATCGTTGTTATATACTAGATTAATGTCTTTGTAAGGAGGATAATCGGCGCTTCGGGTGAAGCATTTTAAACAGCTGGCCTGGAATGGGTCGCACTTTAATTCAATGGAGACCCATTCAGGCGCGTACGCAGGGGGGGGGGGGGTGATTGGGGGTTGAACCCCCCTTTGCTTTTTTTAATTTTTTTTTATTTGTTTTAATTTTTAATAAAAAATAAATAAATAATAATAATACAAAAAATAGGCCAATGGCTGACCTAAAAAGGTGACCTTACCCCCCCCCCCCCACGGAGCAAAATGTCAAATTTTCAAATTTCGAGACAAAAAGAAAAGAAAAAAAAGTGACCTCTTACCCCCCCCCCCCCCCCCCCCCCCGAATTTGTTTGATAAAATTATGGGAATGCAAGCACTAATTTGCACAAGCAGAACTTTGTCAGTCCTTGCTCAATATTCCTGATTGTGGTGTCATATGAAAGGGCAGAACCTCAACTTTCCAGAAATGTGATTTTCTCGTTGAAATTCAGATACCGTCCGCCAAATGACTTTTTGGTTTCCTCTCTTCAAATTCATGTTAATCACTCATGCGTGAAATATGCATCATATGAGTTGCATCAAATGAAAGAGGAGGATCCAAGCTTTCCAAATATGTGTCATTTAGTAATTATAAATGTGACTAAGTTATGATAAAACATCTATAATTCTCGGTTTCGTTTTTTCTGGGACGCACTGTATATGACGTACAGCATTGCGTGTTCATTGTGTTTCAAGGACTTCCTCTCCCAAAGCAGGCTCTACTCTCACGAAGATCGGTTGCAAACAGAAACTAATAGTGCTAATATGAATTCAACTCCGTCATATATACGTCGGAATATGGCCGAAAACCTATATTCAACCGTGTCTTTACTGTTAATTGTCTTAGTCAGTCCCTGTCTGGCGATCTATACTATTTCAGGTAAGTTTGGACGAAATATGTTCGCAGATTGAATTATTAATTTGTAGCATTTATAGCAAATCATAAAGGACTATTGGTTGGTATAGCATTGGATGCAGATATGAGGAAGTATGGGAATGCATAGGCCCATTGTAAGCTATTTCTTTTTGTGTGTAAATTTTCAATGCTTTGTATTGAAGACAATATGTTTAGTTTTATTTTATTTTCAAGGGGAGCGAGAGGGTCTTATTTGCCTTACTCCTATAAGCGTGCTGAAGTAAGATATCCATGACATTCACTGTTCATTAGCTGTTAAGAAGTTGTGTTTCATCTGTCATTTACTTGAGGCGAAAAAGGCCTACATGTAGCTAGGCATATAAGTTACCGAAATGTCATTCTGTTGAACTTCAGGGGCGGTGATTTCTTGTTATGGCCGTGGGGGGGGGGGGGGGGGGGGGACACAATACATGTGTCATACCTCCGATATATACCTAAAAGACATTACATAATGTTACAGTTATGATTGTCATGCGATGGAGCATAGTGCCCGAGCGAGAAGATTTCCCGGTATCTTTTAAATAGTGTAAACGTTGCATTATCGCTTCAGAATCTAAAAATATGTTTCAGCCCTTACTCATCATAAGACTAAATTTTGTAAATGCACTTTTGTTTAAAGTTCCTGGCCGGGGGGGGGGGGGGAGGGGGACATGTGTCCCGCGGTCTCCCCGGGATCACCGCCATAGTCGATATATCTTTTCATCTTTTGCACTAGTGCACCTAGAGCACTTCATTTTAAGTTGATTTGGCGTTTTAAAATCTGTTATACCATAACATAATCATTATTACTATGATCATTATTAATATTATTATTATAATCATTATTTTACTTTCATTACTATTATCATCATTATTATCATTATTATTTTTGTCGTTACAAGGAAAACTGTAATTATTAATACCCTAGCATTGATTGTCAGGTACTCATTTAATACACTTAGATGGGTCCGGAGGTACTGTGGGCAAAACATAATGTCTAAGGATGCAAGCCCCGAGCAATGTTCGAACCTGGTATCTCTGGTATGAGATTTAAGAGCCTTCACCAATATACCACGGTGCTCCCGCTGCTACGTTTACAGATGGTTAGAACTAGTTTGTTGGCGCCTTGAGCATCCCCTTAGATGGATACGTGCGCAATATAAATGAAGCTATTATTATTATAATAATTAATATTATTGTTACTATTATTTAAAATATCATAATCATTATGATCAATATTATTATTATTATACAAACGAACGAATACACAACCTACTCTACAATAAGCATCATCTTAATAACTTTTGCAGACTACAGATTGATCACCAAAGATCGACCCAATGCCGGCATCGTTGAGGTTTTCCGCCATGACATCGGATGGGCGCCCGTTTGTGATAAAGATTGGAACTTCGAACTAGCAAGCATAGTTTGTGATCAGCTAAACTTCCCAGGAACTTCTCTACATCTAAAGACAGCGGCTTTCAACGACGATGGTGATGAGTGGCCGAAGTCAGTCACTAATAATACATCAACATATTTTACAGACTGTTCAGTTGGTAAGTGTAATATTAAACCTGTACAGTACCGACTGAAGAGAAATAGTTCACACAACAACAACAATGATGATAATGATAGCAACAGTAATAATAACGAGATGAATTCGTCACATGAAGACGAATGAGGTGGTCTGCTATTGTTACCAAAGTGGCATGTGGCCCCTTTTAGGTATTCGATAGATGATCTGTATATGATAACTGATAACTTACTAATCAAGCTCAAATTTCCGCCTGACTGCATAGATATACATAGACCAATTGTTGAACTGATGCAATACTGATGCAACATTGACGTCATTAGAGCTGATTTTGACTTATAATGAATTTCTAAAATAAGTTTCACTTTGATTGACAGTGCCGTATTAGAAAGATAGATCTAAACCGTCTGAACAACGTTTTGACGCACAGTAGACGTGACGTCCTTCGTATTTGTAGGGTTGATTGGGGCTTTTAAGTACTTTAATTGGACTAAGCTTCGACTTGGTTGACAGTGCCGTTTCAGAGATATAAACATAACGGCGAAACAATGTTTTGACGCACTGCTGAGGCGACTTTTCATGTGACATCATTCATATTCTCAGCGTGGATTAGAGCCTTTACGTATTATGAACGGGCTAATTTTCGACTATATTGACAGTGCCGTTTCGGAGACATAACGGCGGAACAAAATTTTGACGCGCTATTGACGCTATTTATAGGATTGATTAAGGCTGTTTAGTACTTCAAATGGACAAAATTTCAACTTGATTAACAAGCCGTTTTAGAGATATAGACATAGCCTCGGAATGACCTTTTTACGCAACGTTGCCGTGACGTAATTTATATCCATGGGCTTATTATGGGTACTTGTATTAAGAACTTTAAAAAGACCTATTTCAAGTTGATTCACCGTCCCGTTTTAGAGATACATGTATGAATATAGCGTCTGAATGACCTATTCAGATTATTTTATTGGTCCATATTTAAAAAAACCAGACAATTGGCTTCCACTGGTACAGTATATAACCAAAACAAATATGCATAATAAATAACATCGGTAAACAATTATTACATAATACGTCATATGAACATGAGGGCCAAACCAATAAATGGAACGATGCTCGTAGATAATGTAAACACAAACATCGTAGCCCGTAGCCTCCTACGATGTCTACGAAAAATCGTAGACTAATTCATCGTACGGCGCCCGGGGCAAATGTAATCCAGGCATTTCAACGGCTAATCGTCTTATTGTTCTGTTCGTGAATCTCTGGTTGTATTAAATTAGTAATTCTGAAGCTGGGCATCCGTGGTTTTTAGGTGTGAACAATTTGTAATTCTTACGTGTCTTAAAAAACCCTTTTAAATGGTAGTCAAAGTTGTCATAAGTTCCGCGGTGATGATCTCGTGACTCAAACGGATTATTAATATAAGGCACTGGTTTTTTTAACATATACCAAATGTGTCCACAATAGGGTCTGAAATGAAATCATGTTTACTCACTTCAAACATGTATTTTTAGGATCAGGACTATTCATATTTTTGAGAAATGCAAACTTTGGACCTTAATCTATCTCCTTATTTATTCACTAGATATGAATACTTTGAGTTTTTACAATTTCATTGTAAACTATAGCATATCTAATAACTGTGATATAAAACTCATTTGCTATTAACTTAACCAACAAATATGTTGGTCTTTAAGAATATGTTTCAGAGATTATTCATGCAAATTTTTGAGTTTCTATCTTGAAAAATACAGATTTTGTGTCCCTTGAAAGTGAAAAATAGCTCAAAATTAGGGTTTTGACAATAATTTTGTTTTATTTCATTAGGTAAAATGCTTTTTTCTTAGGTCAAACTTATTTTATTATAACAACTGATGATATAAGTTAAATACATACAAAAAAATTGGGGAACCAGTGCATTGCTAATAATTTTCATATGTCACACCACTGGTATTTCGGACGTTACACACTGTTAACATCATAACTTTATTCAAGTTAATTGCTTTTCTTTAGGTATTATTGACCTAAGTTACATTAATTGTTTGCAGAAAAATATTTCTTTAACATTTATTGAAAAACTTGTGCAGTTTTAATTAGTTTTGCTCATACACCTAGTTTGTCTTCATCAACTTCTCAATTTATGTAAGGTATACTGTTCATTTCAGGAACGTGTAGTTAAAAATGCTTATGTGATCTAACAAAGTGAAATATGGAGCTAATAGCAATTGTAGTCATCACAACTCCTAGAAAATTCAGTTACAAACATACTCTCTTTTGCAGGTTATGAACAACAGTGTAAAATATATGCTATAGTTTGTTTCGGATGTTACAAGATGTGAACATTTCAATCAGATCATCAATTTCTTCAAACTTTACAACATAGATGTTTAATCGGCTTGCTGTGTACTTTGCCTAAAACTAGATTCATGTAGTGTGTCATTCAATAATATCACTATCACATACATGTACAGTATGTACAGTGTAAGCAAAACATTACAAAAATACTTTTAACAAATAAAAGTATATAAAAGTATCCCCAGCCATTTAAGTAAAAAGAAATATGGGAATCCTAATTCATTGTACATCCCGATATTCTTGCATAAATTTGAGGAAGTTACTGTATCTTTAGGATCATGAAATGATCATTAACATGTACATTTTGTTTTGAGGGTCAAGCATTTGAAAAGTATTTGTACATAAGGCTAGTACATTTGAGGGTAGTTCATCCTATGAAAGGATAAAATTATGAATTAATTAATTTTGAAGAGGCTACACCTTATTTTTATGTTCATGCTTTAATTACCCCCATAAATTGGTAATCCATTTTCTTGTCATTTGGAAATTTGGCAGATCTACAGCTATGTCAACATTATGTTGTACAAGTTTCTATAATAGGTATCGGATACTGATTACTGATTTTTGTTTTATAATGGAAGCCTTTGTGCTCATCAATTGTACATGTATGCAACCAATGGGTGTGTCATGTAGTGTGCAAGCCAATTTCATTATTGCTTGATAAATTGTTATCATTATTAAGTGTAAATGCCAATTCCAGTTTAGGATAATGGCAGTATTAATCCTTTCTACATAGATTAGTTACATGTACTGAGTGCCCTTTTTAAAATGTATTTTCAGATGAAAATACATATTTCTCATAAATTTTTTAGAAAAACATTTTAATTTGCTTGATTTTATCAACTTCATATACCTGTATCATATCCATGTCATGACCATGCACACTGGGTATTGCTTAAGTGGGTGATTTTGATTTTTGTAACCTACCAGATAGTGTAAATTGACCATACAATCTTTGGTTATATGACATCATTTGGAACAACCTCTATAAAAATGAAAACCTCATGATTTGCAAACACACACCAATGTTTATAGCAAAAGGAGAGGTTGAACAAATGAAATTTGCTATTCTCACATCTATCATTGCCCCTCATTTGAACTAGTTAAAGTATGAAAATGTCTGTTAACAGTTTAATGTAACGTCCGCAACGTGCTAACAGCATACCAGAAAGTGCTGTTAAAGTGTCTGAATATTTGTTATGAGTCACTTTTGTTGAGATTTTTTCTGATAAATTACAATTAAGGATATACTGAAGCAGCCAGCCATGCCTTGCATCACAAAGTGTGGCTTCAATATTTTATGTTTTATAAGTCAATTTTGCAGAAAAGTTAGATAATTTACGGATTATTTGATTTTTGGCACCATATTTCTACACATGTTTATAATTAAATCTGAATAAAATCATCAAAATATTGTTTTAACAGGAGTGTCCATTGTGAAATGGTAACTTGCAGATATGATCGAAAATTAGGTGAAATTTGTCGACTTTGTGTTAACAATAAAATTGTGTAACGTCCGAAACACCATTCTTGTGATTACAAAAAATTAATGGATTTGAAAGACCTGATTTGTGTTTTGACTTGTGTTAAGACTTATAATAATTTATTTCATAATGATTTATTCACTCTAGATACCTTAAAATATGGATTATTATCATTTTATTGGTATTTTTTGTTTCGGACGTTACATTTGTTTCGGACGTTACAACTGTTAACGGAAAATTGGTTTTAACTATAAAATAGTATTGTAGTAATGTATTGCAAATTTCTTTGTTTTGGTGGGTAGCTGCCATGAGATGTTAACAAAATGTTATGATAGATATATCCTGCTGTTCATATATTTTCTGCTACTTCAACTTGAAAATTGTTTCGGACGTTACAAAACTGTTTACGGAAAATGAGACGACTTTTTCAAATTTTGAGTATATTTCTAATATAAGCGCTACTATAATTAAATTATATTTTCTTTTAATATAATCAATTGGAGCAACTAATAAATTCACTCAAACCATAAACAATCTCATTAATTTGTTGTTCTAGTGGGTTAAATGAGGGTCTACATTGTTTACGGAAAATGTAACGTCCGAAACGCCATTTTCAATTGCACTTTTCCATTAAAATAGGGGAGTTGATTCAGATTACTGTTAAGTTTCTTTAAGATCCACTCATGCTCATTAATTATCAATAGAAAAAGAACATATTGTTTGTGGCTATATATTTTTTTCAGCTCCGACCAAAATGGCATGTCAATTTTGTTTCAAAATTCCGTAAACAATTTGCTGTTCAGGGATACCTCATGCGCATAAAGCAACGATGAAAATTTTTCGTTAAGCTATGGGAGGTTAACCTAGGTCCATGCTTCTAGAAAAAGTTAATACTGATTTCTAGTTCTTTATCATTTGGAAAGTTTCAGGCTCTCAAAGGGCCATTTAGGTATTTGGTCATAGTTAAAAAAAACCAGTGCCATAAGCTGGCCATCCGTGGTTTTTAGGTGTTAAAAATTTGTAATTCTTACGTGTCTTAAAACACCTTTTTAAATGGTTTCAAAGTTACCATAAGTTCCGAGGTGATGATTTCGTGACTCAAACTGAATATTAATCTTTGGTGTGAATCTGTGTTTTTTTAGGTGTGAAAAATGGATGGTTATTTTCTTTTTTTGCTCAATATGGATATTTTTTTGGAAAAATCTTAGGCTGGAATATTAGTAGAGGTGTATTCATGTTTGAAAGGTTATCTTTAGTTGGATTGGGGAGCCCTTTGATAGTCGTAAAGGAATAAACATGGTATCAAATTGTTCGGAAAAATATGGGAAATATTATGAAAGGAAAAATAAAGACGATTCTATGTTGCGTACGGCCATGATGAACGAAATGGCCTGAAATGTATGGAAATTGAAATATGAATAAGAAAATTCTGACAAATTAAGAGGGGATCTGTCAATGACAGACCACCTAATATTGATAATAATGATAATGATGATGATAATGATAATAACAATACATTTTTCATTTTTCAGCTGAGACAAACATGGAATGTGGTACGTCTATCGGGTCTTACTGTGATTTCGATTATCATATCGGAGCTGTTTCTTGCAAAGGTAACTATGAATGTTGCAATGTTTGGTTATCATTTCAAGTTAACACTTTAATGGGCATGCATGCTTGTATTGTTGTAGGTGCTGATTTTCAAAATATTTGTTTCCCACATGATTATTCTTGGCACTGGTTAATACTTTTATAGTGGCGGAATAATATACGAATATTCACATATGGATGGATATCTGTCTTGATAAATAGTTTTTGTTTGTACCTCTGACACTTGGAGGTCAACTGGGCTCTGTGGGGGGGGGGCATCTGTTCTTACTTATTTAATTGGTCAAAAATACTCTTCAACACCGTTCTTTTCAATATCACATTTGTGCAGATGATATTCAAATACTCACTTCGTTCAAACCGAACCAAAGCAATACAGCCAGCTCTATCCATAATCACGAGGCCTTTGTATACAGGATGTTCATAATTGGTTAACTGAAAATCAAATTCATCGAGACTATATCTTACTAACTGTGAATTTGTATTGTATTTTGAAAATACTCTGTTAAAAAAAAAAGGTATCTTTAACTGCCTTAATCCTTGCTGGCCACAATATTGATGTATCTCATGTATGACGTAACATTGGCGTTGTTTTATACTCAAACTTAAAGATAAGGTTGATTTCTGGTCATGCGATTGCAATGTTAAAAGGGAAGGTGTGGAATGGATCAGAAAAAGCTGATCATGTAGCATGTACATATTGGTGTGTACTGCAAGGTTTTGGAGTCATCAAAATCATGATAAATTGGCCCAGTCTTGGTAAAGTAACAAGCACTGTACACAGAAAGATGTATATGAGACTACATATATGGTGACGGGGCTACTTACCTTGATTTCCTTATCTTTCTATGCTCATTTCTCAGCCAGTATACATTTTCCACCAAAGTTGTTTGGCAAATGACATTTATTTATAATCTTGAACATTCAGTGTAAGTTTCGTTTGATGCTGTGAGAATTCATTTTTCAATTTTTACCAGAACTCAAGTTTATCTTTAAAAACAATGTCTCTACAAATGTAATACGTCTCTAAATCAGTTCGGTATTAGTTATGTAACTTAGGATTCATACTTGAAAACCTATTCGCAGTGCCACAGAGAGGATTACCCATGATTTGATTTCATCCTAGATTTTTAGAAATGCTCTCGTTCATGAGCGAACGCATTGTTTTTCAAAATTCTTTTGCTTTTATTTCATTGTGTCCACTGCTCTGCTCCACAGTACAACATTACTTTGCTAAATCAGTACATTCGTTCATATTCTTTTCGCATTCAAAAACTCCGGATTCCTTGTTCTTCCTAAGCTTAATACTAAGTGGGGTTGGGTGGGGGCCTTCGATTTTGATTACTCTCCTTCGAGAGCTTCTTAATAGCTGATCAGTTGAAGTGTTTACATAGTAATATCAAAACGTATTTGTTTAATTCGGCATATTATTTCTTGTTATTTTATGTTTGTATGTTATGCAACGCTTTCAAATGATCTCTTCTTCAAAAGTTCGATTTGAGCATTTGCTTTCTAGTGGATTAGGCGCCTTACAAATCTCACATATTATTATTATTTAAACATCAATAATCAAAGGAGACAAATAAATGCTACTACAAGTTACATTTATGTAGTGCTAATTACAACTGGTGTTTCTACGCGCTGTAGTTATGATTACCCCCAGCATATCCAATCTACCATAATGCCGGGATTTACATCATCTACGTGGAAAATGGCAAAATAACGTAGATTGATGTGTTAGAAAATGACATTAAGTGCCGTGACAGGGATTTGAACTCCGTACATGTGCTTCATAGACCGGGGACTTATCCGCTCGACCATAAACTCTTCATCATACAGTGTATAATTACATAGGAAGAAAAAAAATGTTGTGGAATAACTCTAACAGTAACACATTTATAACCAGGCACGGATCCAGGGGGGGGGGGCGAGCGGGCCCTGCCCCCCCCCCCCGCAAAAAAAAAAAAAAAAAAGGAAAAGAAGGGAAAGTGAAAGAGGAGAGAAAGGGAAAGAAAGAAGAGGAAGACGAAAAGAGAAGGGGAAGAAGGAGATCGGGGGTGGGGCGAAAGGGCCTTGCCTCCCAGGCTGTTGAACCCCCAACCCCCCCCCCCCCCCCCCCCAATCGAAAAATTAAGAGAGAAGTAAGAAAAGGGAAAGAAAAAAGGAAAAGAGGAGATATGGCGTACTGATAGGGGGGGGCGGTCCCCCCAAATCGGAAGAGGACGTAAGAAGAAAAAGGAGCAGACAAAGAACATCTTTGAAATTCAGACAAGAATTAAGAGTATAGAGAACTGTATACAACGCATCGTCTTCTTTCTCAAATAATTTAATGAAACGTCAAAGCTTCGCGCAGGAGGGGAGGGTGGGGGCTGAATTCAGACAAGGAATAAGATTCGAGAACGGTACAGCGAGTCGTCTTCTTTCTCTCATAATCTTATGAATCGTCAAAGCTTCCGCGCTTCGCGCGGGAGGGGGGAACCTGAATTCAGACGAGGATTCAGAGGCGAGAACTGTACAACGAATCGTCTTCTTTTGGTAATACGAATCTTTCATGATTTAATGAAACGTAAAAGCTTCGCGCGGGATGGAGGGGGAACTAAATTCCGACGAGGCTTATTTTCGAGAACGGTACAACGAATCGTCTTCTTTCTCTAATGATTTAATGAATATTAAAAGCTTTCGCGCTTCGCGCAGGAGGGGGGAACCTGAATTCAGACGAGGATTCAGAGGCGAGAACGGTAATACGAATCTTTAATGATTTAATGAAACGTAAAAGCTTCGCGCGGGATGGAGGGGGAACTAAATTCCGACGAGGATTATTTTCGAGAACGGTACAACGAATCGTCTTCTTTCTCTAATGATTTAATGAATATTAAAAGCTTCCACGCTTCGTGCAGGAGGGGGAACCTGAATTCGGACAATGATTAAGAGTCGAGAACTGTACAACGAATCGTCTTCTTTCTCTCATAATCTTATGAAATGTAAAAGCTTTCGCGCTTCGCGCGGGAGGGGGGGGGGGGGAACCGAATTCAGACGAGGATTAAGAGTCGAGAACGGTACAACGAATCGTCTTCTTTCTGTAATAGTTTAATGAAACGTCAAAGCTTCCGCGCTTGGCGCAGGAGGGGGGGGGGAGGACTGAATTTAGACAAGGTTTAAGAGTCGAGAACGGTACAACGAATCGTCTTCGTTCTCTAATGAATTAATGAATCGTAAAAGCTTCCACGCTTCGCGCGGAAGGGGTAAAACTGAATTCAGACGAGGATTAAGTGTCGAGAACTGTACAACGAATCGTCTTCTTTCTCTAATGATTTAATGAAACGTAAAAGCTTTTGCGCTTCGCGCGGGAGGGGGGGGGGGACCTGAATTCAGAGTTGAGAACGGTACAACGAATCGTCTTCTTTCTTTAATAGTTTAATGACACGTCAAAGCTTCCTCGGGAGGGGGGAATGAATTTAAACAAGGATTAAGAGTCGAGAACGTTGCAATGAATCGTCTTCTTTCTCTAATGATTTAATAAATCGTAAAAGCTTCCGCGCTTCGCGCGGGAGGGGGGGGGGGGGGGACTGAATTTAGACAAGGATTAAGAGTCGAGAACGGTACAACGAATAGTCTTCTTTCTCTCATGATTAAATGAAACGTAAAAGCTTCCGCGCTTCGCGCGGGAGGGGGGAGAATCTAAGTTAGACAGCACCACCTGTGCGCTTAGAAACATCTGTATAAAGCGCCCTATAAATGTTATTATTATTATTTTATTATTATTAAATTCAGACGAGGATTATTTTCGAAAACGGTACAACGAATCGTCTTCTTTCTCTTATAATTTAATGAAACGTCAAAGCTTCCGGGTTTCGCGGAGGAGGGAGGGGGTAACTCGCCCCCCTCCCCCGCATTACGTCACTGTTGGTCACCGTTACGTACCAATATTTGGCTCGCATAATTTCAAATGTTGGCCCCCCCCCCCCTAAGAAATCCTGGATCCGCGCCTGTTTATAACATGAGGGTTACATTTGAAAACTAGCTAAATGTTGTGGGTCGGAAGTGATTATTATCACCATTTTTAGCATCTTATTTTTTCTTTAATTCAGAACCAGGATATCTTGGATGTTTCAGTGATTATAACAATCATTTTTGGCCCGGCAGAGATCGTGTGTTTTCCAATGATTCCCGTTACTATGAATATCTCACGATTGACATGTGCATCAACGCATGCGAGGGGGACGGATCCTTCTACGCAGGTGTAGAATTCGGGTACGAATGTTTCTGCGGAGGACAAGATGAAAACCTTGTCAAATATGGAAACGCTTCGGATGGGGAATGTGATAACATTTGTACGGGAGATCGCCTTGAATCATGTGGGGGCTCAGATTTTATCGGCATCTACCAAGGTAAAGGCAGGAGTGATTCTCGATTTGTTTAATATATTTTTTATTGGGGGGGGGGGGGGGCACTCTTGGGGAGGGATTTTAGGGGCCCGGAGGGTGTTGTGTGTTTTTGCATTTCATGTGTCTCGCGATTTGTCTTTGCTATAAAAATAAAAAAATCAAAAAAATCTAAAGATACTGCTAAAGCTGATCTTGAGGCGTTGTTAAGTTAGTTATTAATGATCCTTGAAATACTAATGTTAACAATGCATGACAACAATTATTTAAAGGAAATAATCCCATCTCCAATAAATTTCTTCATTTTTGGACAACGTTGCCTGCAAAAACCTATAGTATTAAATAGAAACAAATTTCTTAATGTACTTTTTAATTTCTTGTCACTGAATGGCTTTAAATGAAATTTCGATTTTCTCTAATTGAAGTTATCGAGCTTATTCATGATGTTTGTCTAGTTTTCGCACATGTTATATTGCTAAAAAATCTCGATATATGACATTATTCGGTGTCATTCTAATTTGTGTTTCTAAGTTGGCCTAGGTGTCTGCGAAGACCCTGGTACCCCTCAAAATGGATTCAGGTACAAGGAAACCGGCTCTCTGCGCTACGGCAGCAAGATATATTTTAACTGCTCCGACGAGTTCACACTAGAAGGACCTGACGTCATCCAGTGCGTGCAGATGTACGGTCGCAGAGAAGATGTTAGTATTGCTCACAGCACCCATGCCGTTATGTGGAACCAAAGTCTTCCAAAATGTACAGGCAAGTAATCATTTTTATTTAAATAATATTTTGTTTCGCAAAAGGTTTGTATGTCAATTACCATGAAAATATAGATTCTGTTTAATCTAGAAGTGACTTTTAAAGTGTTCATTTGCGATCATCAAAACATGTTTTGCTCTTGATGGGAGGTGTTCCATACCCGGTGGGGGGGGGGGGGGTACTCACATATGAAGACATACGGGGGTTTACCTCTCTAATAGGCCACTTTTTTCACACAAAAAGTTCATGCCGTTATAAACTGTTTTTTTAAATATGAGCTTCAAATATAACTTCTAGAAAGAGACATCGCAGTTTAAAGATCGGGTGAAATCCAATAATAAGTTAATACCAGGGCTGCATACAACTCATATTTTGTTATTCAAACATCTAAATATATTTCTTAGATTTTCATATATTAAAAAAAAATAAAAAATCCAGATCTCATCCATCTTGTGACATCATCTGTCAATCATTAATCTGAACAATTTTTGTATATAGCGCTTATCACCATTCAGTCCCTATACGCTTTAAACAAAATTAGAACAAAAAAAAATATAAATTTTTATCTAAAAAGATTTAAAATATTTTGTGTTCATTAAATTTAAATTTGAAAAATTCAATTCAATTAAAAAAAATATATAAAAAAATAATTAAAAAAAAAAAAAATCACATTTTTTTCCAACTACCAAATAGTACTCCCAAATAGTACTCTCATATAGTGCTTTCTAAAAATAGTTCAAATATTTCTGGTCATGTGACGAGCTCTCAACTAATCAAAAGCCAACAAATTTTTGATGCAGGATATAATACAATATATCGAAAATACAATTCAAAGCAAATACTAAGTCAAGTAATCTTGAAAACTGTTGGTGAAAAATAACTTTTAGTCCGTTTTTCGGATTGGCCAATATATATAATATTATAAACATCTGTATTTACCATTGCATCATGTTTATTTACCATGATGTTCAGGATTCAGTTCGACTACACCCTCTTCTGCGACTACCACGGGCGGAGGGCAAGCTATAAACCAATTACCATTCAGTGGGACAACTGACCCAGCGCAGAGTGGTAAGTAAATTCTCATTACGTCACAGTCCCTGTATGATTGTGATAAAATGGATGCAAATGAAATGGTTGCATGCAAATATTTCATAAAAAGTGAAAAACTAAAGAATGAAAATGATTAATACAATTGTATTTCATGATAGCCTCAAATACCACACATCATAAAGGCATACGTTAGGTTAAGTTGCTTGCAACTATTTGAGTCTATATACTCGGTTTGATATCTTTTTATACTAGTAGGCCTATATAAAGCAGTGTAAAACTAGAAAGGAACGGGCCTTGTCTCCAAAATTGTCAATTTTACTCATGAAATGTTTCAAAATATGAGACAGATGCACACACCGACCACTAATATGTTCAGTGGGCTATGCTAGTTTATTCACCTTAATATTCAGGATTCAGTTCGACAGCACCTTCTTCTGTGACTTCCAAGGGGCAGACAAGTGACATGACTGGGTCAGAGCAGCAGAGTGGTAACTGAATTCTCATTACGTCATCATTCCTGCAGGATCATGTTAAAATGGATACAAATGAAATAATTGCATGCAAATATTTTAGCAGTGGGTAAAATGCCAAAAATAAATAGCCCTCAAGGGAAAGGCAGGTGTGGGATTGTATATATCTTGTTTACAGGTTTTTGTACACATTTTGTTTTTATTTCTCTTACCTTCATTTTGTTAATGTCTCCCTGCAATTCGTGGGGGGGGGGGCATGCCCCATGCCCCCTAGCAACTTCACTGGTATTCGAAATAACTCTGGGCTATAGCAGTGGTAGCCTTTAATAGAGAAGGCCTTGTGTCTGATAATGATATTGATAGTTGACGCCGAGCGACTAAAAAGAGACTAATCGCGAAAACCCGAGTGAACGCCATCATCTGGAGCGAGTGGCGTCTCATGGGTAACGCCCAACGAACTCTTGAAATTCGATGGTAACGCCACTCGATTGAGCGTTCACCCCGGGTCTCTTGATCTCTCTTCATCGCCGGCTAGACTCTTCCCAGTCATTGATTGGCGTGGACAAGAGCCCGAGTCACGAGGCCTTGTCAAAAGGCTATAGCAGTGGTAACTAATTGTCATTTAGAAAGTTCTTGTGACTCATACCGGCTAGATATTACGGAAATTCCTGTAAGTCTTCCTTCCATGTACTCTGAAATACAAACAAATTGTATCACGCTAATAAAACTTTCCTGTTTTTTTCCTAGGTCATCAGGTTATCATATATAGCAGTATTGGCATCGTCTGTGGCCTCCTCCTTATCACCATAGCCATCATTGTCGTGGTCGTTATTCGCAAAAGACGTAAAAGGTGAAGCTTATTATTATAGTGTCTCATAATAGTTTAAGCTCTACATGTTTTTACACGTCATGATGTGCAGATTTGCACTGCGGCGAATTATAGCCTACCTATATTAGATAAACTCATTCTTACCTTTAAAGATAAACTTGACTTCTGGTTAAAAGAAAAGAAAAGGAATTCTCACAGAATCAAAAGAAAAACTTACACTGAATGTGCAAGATTAAAATAAATGTCATTTGCCAAACAATTTTGGTACAAAATGTAAACTGGCTTGGTAATGAGCATAGAAACATAAGAAACTCAAGGTTAGTAGGCCCGACACCATTTTGTGTAGTCCCATATAAATTTGTCTGTGCACAGTGCTTGTTACTTTACCAAGACTGGGCCAAATTTATGATGATTTTGATGACTCCAGAACCTTGCAGTACTCACCAATACTTGCATGCTACATGATCAACTTTTGTTCTGATCCATTCCACACCTTTTCTTTCACAATGCAATCGCATAACCAGAACTCAACTTTATCTTTAATCTTGGAGCAAAATAATAGATCGTGCACTCCTTTAAACCAATATGTTGCATACATTTTGTTTAACACACAATCCCTCTTTGTCACATTTCCGATCTAACAGGCAAGTAATTTCATTTTGATTGTAATAGAATCTATTGTTTGTTAACCATTACTTGAAGAAATTTGGTTGAAAAATGATAGTTTATGATTGTCAGAATTTTTTTGAACTCGTACCCCCCCCCCCCCCCCCCCCACTTTAAAAAAAAATAAAAATACCAGAATCATCCACTGAGTAGATGTGACCATACAATGCAGAAATTAATCTCGTCTGTCTCTTGTTATATCGGTGTAGAAACATTCATCACTTTTTATTAAGCCTTTATTAGGGATCACATTACAATGTCAATTTCCGCCGTTATTGTATAAGACAATAGTTTCATCGAGTGCAACAATAACACAATATAATGTACCACAAAAGCATAGGCCTAGACTTCGGGGGAAGGGGGTGTTAGGGTGCGCAGCATTATAGCCATACCCCCTACTCATCCGCTAAAAGAAGAAGAAGAAGAAGAAGAAGAAGAAGAAGAAGAAGAAGAAGAAGAAGAAGAAGAAGAAGACGAAGAAGAAGAGGGAGAAGAAGGAGGAGGAGAAGGGAAAGGAGGAGGAGGACGTAAAGAAGAATAGAAGAAGGAAAATGATAAAGATAAAGAAGAAGAAGAAGAAGAAGAAAAAGAAGGAGAAGAAGAAGGAAAAAGATAAAGATAAAGAAGAAGAAGAAGAAGAAGAAGAAGAAGAAGAAGAAGAAGAAGAAGGAGGAGGAGGAGGAGGAGGAGGAGAAGAGAAGAAGAAGAAGAAGAAGGAGAAGAACCAAAAAAAGAAGGAGAAGAAAAGAATGAAAAAGACAAAGAAGAAGAAGGAAAAGAAGGAGGAAACAAAACCTCAGCCACCGAACTTGGTTGGTTAAGACCTTTCAGTTTAACCCAGCCTTACCCCAGTATACTCTATGGCGGCTTTGTGTGTCAACCTCGTCTGTGCGGCCTCCGATTCTCCCCCCCCCCTCCCCCATGTTCGACTTGTTTGGCCACGCCAGTGCAGAAAGTGAAACTCTAATAACATAGGACAGAATACCGGGATGTAAATGAAAGAGGGTTTTTTCCCTCTTCAAATTACCACAGGAAGAGCCTTGGTTGATTTTGGAAAATGCATTCCGGTTCTAAGAATAATGTTTATGTTTCGCTGATCGAAAGGTTAATACTACCATAGGTTTAATCGTATATTATTACTGCCAATGGTTTCATTGTATTAAGTTCCTTGTCATGCTTGTGTATCAATCCCACACGATTATCCCGCGATCTGAATTTCGAATAAATGGCCATTCATGTACATTTGATATGAACCTAAACAAACATCTTCTTCTCCGATTTAGGTTATAAATAATGATAAGAATACTAACAATAGGAATATTAGTGCATTTAACCACTGATGGATAATAATTATCATTTTTTCAACTAAATCCATCTTATATCACGACCTTCTGAATTTCTTTGTCATAACCGTGGATTTATCGGGAATTGTTCGTGTCTCTCTCCGCGGGGAAAATTCCAGGAGAGCTGAATGTCTAGATCCTACTGCTCCTGACATCAAGCCCGAATCTCGTAACCATGGCAACGGAGGAGGTAGTCCTCTGATCTCGAGGGGAGACGGAGAAGGAGACCTCTTCGTACTAACCGACTTGACCGGCCATTCGCAAACCGCGGGAGAAAACCATTACGTGGACGGCAACGACGAGCAACCGCCAACGCATCCCGGATCGATGGACAGACCGGGAATTACCAGAGGTGCTGTCGGATATGAATCCATTCGGTTGCCATCCGCGGATAGTGCACTGAACGGACCGGGGGGAATACCGGGTGAGGTTCCGGTGGACGGGGCGATAGACCTCTATGCGAACACGGAGTTCCACGATGTGCCAACTAACTTAATTGATAATGAACTGTACGGGTAGTAAGAATCGTGAATGCATCCGAATACATTCATGGGTTGGTGAGGTTGTGCGACACTGGGTCAATTATTGCTCTGCGGTAATTCCTACATTACCTAAATTACTACTTTCAAGCCTTGACCCAATATTTTACCTTACCCGAACCATAATCCGCGTCCTAACCCAAACCCTATCCTAAAACAATATTGCTCCCCTAATCCTCACACTGTCAACGAAATAATGTTTCTGTGTCAACTTTTCAGTCTTTGTCATAATAGTTTTACACTCCTGTATTTATTTTATTCATTACATTTATCATTATCATCATTATCATCATCATCATCATCATCATCATCATCATTCTCATCATCATCATCATCATCATCATCATCATCATCTTCATCATCATCATCATTCTCATCATCATCATCATCATCATCATCTTCATCATCATCATCATTCTCATCATCATCATCATCATCATCATCAATTTTTGTATATTTCACCCATGCTTTCAATTAATTGCCCATTCTGCTTGATAGATTTATTTGGGGCTGTCATAATTTCAAGCATTTTACTTTCAATGGCAGACCTTCTTCCATTAATAATTGTATAAAGCTTGATAAAATATGATACTTTGACACTAATTATATATGTTTTTCTTTTTATTGTACTAATTATGTACATTTGCTTATTTATGACTCATTGTCAGAAAGTACCTTTTGGCATTTTAGTTTTGTTGTGTTACCTAAAATTGTTTATATGTATATAGAATGCTGAATAAATCAAATCAAATCAAACGAAATAAAGCACTAAGAACTTGTCGATTGAGAAGTGCCTTTAACTCTCTTTAAGGCGTATGATGGTGCCCATCAAGCACGGTCAAAATTGTATGCATATAAATGATATCTTCACATCATGTAGCCACTAAAAGATAGAATAAGACAATTTAAATATGTTAGTACATGAATTAATAAGTTCACTTGAGCATTCCCACTATATCACCTTTATTATTTAACTCAAATTCAGCCCATTCAAATTGCTATTCGTGTGTTTTCCTGTTTTTAAATATTGCCGGCCAAATAGTTTACGGTACAAGTAGGCTGGCTATAACGTATGTTGAAAGGTAGTTATGCATGTCTGATTTGTTTCCTTGTGAGATAATTCCGTTAATAAATTGTTCATAGTTTATATAGCAGCT